ATTTCTTTAGCCAGACACGCAAGCTATTTTACCTCTGACCTTTGTTCACTCACCCTTGCCTTCTTCATCTAGTGGCAAGCCTAGGCTTTCCTGCCCTTGCTTCTGTTCACATCCATCCAAAATGTACTGACAAGTGAATTCTATTGTTAAGAACAAACCAAGTTCACAGAATTGCTATGAAAAATGGAAGAAATGAATTATTTTTGCAACAAGAGGGTCCCAATCTCATTGACATCAAGCAATCCCACTCTTTCAGGATTGCATTTCCAAGCTGCGTTTTAGGAAAAGCCTTTTGTGTCTTAGTGAGGCTGACTCTGCTTGCTTAATCTTCCATAGCTTTCAGCGAAAATTAATTTACTAAAATATGAAAAAATACAAAAATTTAAAATATTATTCCCCTACAGAGGCGCAAATGAAAAATGCATGCAAACTATTTTTATACCTTCCCCCCCCTTTAAAATTGACTTAAAATGTCAGCTCATTCCTTTGGAAAGATCAAGATACGTTCTTTTAAAGACAAAGACTGGAAAGGAATACAGAAAATTTTGTTTTATTTTTAAAGATTTTTATTTATTTATTTGACAGAGAGAGACACAGCGAGAGAGGGAATACATGCAGGGGGAGTGGGAAAGGGAGAAGCAGGCTTCCCGCCGAGCTGGGAGCCCGATGCGGGGCTCGATCCCAGGACCCTGGGATCATGACCTGAGCCGAAGGCAGATGCTTAACGACTGAGTCACCCAGGTGCCCCAGGAATATGGAAAATTTTAAAAAGCTTTCTCTATTAAATTTGAAGTGGTGGGAATGCAGGTGGCTTATTTGGCTTTCGATTATTTGGGAATAAAAAAACTAACAGAACAGGAAAAGTAAGAGCTTTGTTGGGACGAGAACATAAAACTTGCCTCTGATGTACTTTTTTTAAATATATGGCTGTATACGAAGTACCAAAGTTGTTTCTCCTTCTAAAGCGAGAAGCTCACTAACTTAATGCTACATGTAGACAGCAGGTGGGGACAAATGTAATGGATTTAGTTGCTGGATCTTGACTCATCTGCCCCTGATTAGTACTCTAGTAACACAAAGTAGTTTCTAAGTCCTTTGACTAAAAGGATTTCCCAGTGGCGGTAATGAGACACACGAAGAGTCGGCACAGGTCACTGTCTCCGTCCGCACCGGGAACCACGGAGACAGGGCCCGGACGCTTTGGCGCCGGCCCCGTTACGGGCCAGCGGGGTCTGCGGCACTCCCTCTCAAGGGGCCTCGCTCCCGGAGCCGCGAGCAGTCACAGAGCCCCGCGGACCCGGCCCACGCGCCCCGCCGCGCACCTCGCAGACCCCGGCCCAGCTCGCCGCCCCGGACCGCCGAGGGTCTGAGCCGCACGCTCGGGCCCGCGAGAAAGGGAAGAGCCGGGGACCACTCGCACTCGGGCCTCCTCGAGTCTCGCCGCTCAGGAGCGGGACCACAGAGGTACCGCGGGGGCGGAGCCAGAACGAGGGGCGGGGCGAAGGGCGGGAGAGGGCGCAGTCAGAGAGGGGCTGGGCAGAGCGAGAGCACTGCAGGAGTGTGAGGCGGGGCGAAACGTGGGGCGAGGACCTAGCCGGGGTGAGGGGCGGGGCGAGGGTGTGGCTAGGGCGGAGTCGGGGCGGGGTCAGCGTGTGAGGCGGGGCTGTGGGCGGGGCCTGCGCTAACGGTCGCGCGGCGGGCGGCGGACGGAGCGCACCGTGGAGAGGCTGTGGAGCGCCGGGCCTGGCGGGCGCGAGGAGCAGCGGCTGAGGTGAAGGCCTGGCCCGGGCGGCGCGTTCTGTGAGGCGCGGGCGCGCGAGGGGGCCTGCGGCGCTGCGCGGTGCGGACCGAGTTGGGGCGCCAGTCACGCGGCTGTCCTTTCCTCTGCTGCCGTTTCGGAGCGCGGAGTCCCGAAGTGGGGTTCGTTCCCGGGACGCGGGGACGCCCGGTTCCGTGAGGGCGGACCACGAAGGGCGTGGCTGGCGGGGCCCGGTGTGCGGCCGCCGGCTGGGACAGCCCTGGTGCGAGCAGACCGAGGCGGCGTGGCTGCCGGCTCCCGTCAGAGCGGGGACGCCCGGCGGGTCCTCTCCTCGGGAAGCGGTGGAGCGAGGCTGGGAGCGCCGCCGGTGCGGAGCAGCCCGCGCGGGGGAGACCCGCGGAAGGGGGCGGCGGAGGCGGCACGGCGCGGCGCCAGGGAACGCAGGCGGCGGACGTGGCGGCGGACGCCCCTGCGGTCCCGCGCTCGGCCTCCGTCCGCTCACTTTGGCCGGCTGAGAACTGCAGCCGCCGGTTTGCCCTGCGGGTCCGGCTGACTGCACTCTTCGGACGGCCGAAGCCGTGTCAGAGCCAGCCCCGACGAGCGTGCCTTCCTCCCCCGGCTCCAGGGCCCCAGCGCCAGGTCTCCGCCCCCTCGGGGCCCTCCAGCCGCGCCCCGAAAGGCAGGCGCTGGGCCACACTCGAAGCTGCCCTTTATTACGATGATTTTTTTTTTAAAGATTTTATTTATTTATTTGAGAGAGAGAATGAGAGAGAGAGAGCACATGAGAGGGGGGAGGGTCAGAGGAGGAAGCAGATTCCCTGCTGAGCAAGGGGAGCCCGATGCGGGACTCGATCCCGGGACTCCAGGATCATGACCTGAGCCGAAGGCAGTCGTTTAACCAACTGAGCCACCCAGGCGCCCCTTATTACGATGATTTTTAATGATTTTATTTTTAGAAATCATCATTCTTTCATCGACAGAGTTTGCTTAAAAAAAATTTTTTTTTAAAGTAATCTCTACACCCAGTGTGGAGTTGGAACTCACAACCCCGGAGACCAAGAGTCGTGTGTTCTACCCACGGAGTCAGCCAGACGCCCCAGGGGGTTGTCCTTCAAAAGTGGGAGGAGGACTCCGAGCCCAGGAAGGGGGATTCGGAGATCCGGACCCGAGGTGCGCGGCTGTCCGAGATGGTCATGATATACCCACTGTCTGTAGTGTAGCGCCAGCCCAGAGCTGTTGCCTGCGACGGTGCCACCACTTGACCTTAAACTGGACTGGGTACCCGCACCATTGCCAAGGGTCTGGAGCAGTGCGGCCTTGAGGCACTACACAGCTGCTCCTACCTCCCATGCTCTGTTTGCCTTGCTCCTCTATGCGGTTCCTGGGTGAGGCACCAACTCCCAGCCCTACCCCTGTCCTGATTCAGGGCCTGGCACAAATCAGACACTCAACCGACATGTGCTGCATGAATAACCGAAATTGAGTAAATCTACTGGTTTGGTGTAGCTGACCAATGTTATTACATTGAAACCCTTTACAGTGATGATACTGAGGACCAGCCACCATTTGATATTTTAATATCACTCATTTGATATTGAGTGCTTTTTATGCACGAGATAGCATCGAGATACACTCATGAAATCTCTAAGGCCCCATCTCTGCTCTCATCTAGATATGAGGTTAAAATCACTACCATCCACACACATAGTGTAACCAGGTTAGAGGTATTAGCAATAGAGTTTTGCTGTATTTTTTTTAGATTTTATTATTTATTATTGACAGCACAAGCAGGGGGAACAGCAGGCAGAGGGAAAGGAAGAAGCGGGCTCCCCACTGAGTAGGGAACTGGATGCAGGCCCCATCCCAGGACGCCGGGATCATGACCTGAGCCAAAGGCAGACGCTTAACCATCTGAGCTGCCCAGGCACCCCTGTATTTCTTTTCTTTTCTCTTCTCTCTCTCTTTTTTTAAAGATTTTTTATTTATTTATTTGACAGAGATAGAGATAGCAAGAGCAGGAACACAAGCAGCAGGAGTGGGAGAGGGAGAAGCAGGCTTCCCCTGGAGGATGGAGCCCGATGTGGAGCTTGATCCCAGGACCCTGGGATCATGACCTGAGCCGACGGCAGACGCTTAACAACTGAGCCACCCAGGCGCCCCTCTTTTGCGCCCCTTTTCTTTTTTATTTATTCACCCATTTGAGAGAGAGAGAGTACACATGCGCTCCAGCAGGGGGAGGGGAGAGGGGGAGAGAAAGAGAGAACCCCAAGCGGACCCCCCCCAGCACAGACCCCCCCCCCCGCCACCAGGCTCTATGCCACAACACTCAACCGAGCCACCCAGGGGCCCTGAGTTTTGCTGTATTTCTAAAAGTAGGCTCCATGCTAATAAATATTTAAATCTGCAAATGTCCCATCGAATCATCTTTCATCCCAAACTAAATTTACAGGGTGCACAAAAATTGCTAATTAGTGAGGCGCCTGGGTGGTGCAGTCCGTTAAGTGTCCAACTCTTGGTTTCTGGCTCTGGTCATGATCTCAGGGTCAAGAGATGGCTCCATGCTGGTGGTGGAGCCTGCTTAAGATTCTACCTCTTCCTCTTCCTCTGCCTCTCCCCCCCAATAAATAAATCTTTTAAAAAAACTCACATTCTCTGTTTTACTGAAACTAACATGCCATCACACATAAGATGCCTCTTACATTCAGAAATATTAAAATGTAAAAAAAATTGCTAAATTATACATTCTTCTTACCAGTTTAAATTATACATTCTTTGGAAAGTGAAATTAAAAATTGAAACCTAACTATATCATTCAAAACTGTAAAAGGACATTTTGAAACATGTTTTTTTACAGATTTGATCTGTACTTATATTTCACTGTTATAATAAAAAACTTTTCCCAAAGAGTGAGTAATATATTCAATGCTTTCCTAGATAATTTTTTAAAGATTTTATTTTTTACTTATTTGAGAGAGAGTGCATGCATGCGTGCACAGGGGGAAGGGGCAGAGGGAGAGGGAGAAAGAGTCACAAGCAGACTCTGCACTCTGCGAGGAACCCCTACAGGGCTTGACCCCACAGCCCTGAGATCATGACCTGAGCCAAAACCCAGAGTCCGACTTTCAACCGACTGTGCCACTCAGGCACCCCCCAGATGACATTTTTAATCTTGAAATTTTTCATGGGTTATTTCAGTTATTTAATTTTCATCAACTTATATTTTCTAAAATATAGATAAAAGAATGGCAAATTCCTTTGCATCAAAGACCTTCACTGCACTTTCAGATCTGCATCCAAATATGGCTAATCTGGTAGGTTTTATTGATAGAGTGGTTTGGTTGTTCTCTAATGAAACTTTAGGTGGTAATATTATATTATAGCAACATTGTTGGTTCATTTAACACATGCCTATATAATTGACAAGGATATAGCTACTCATTCCATCAGTACAATTGTTGATATTATAGATACCCCTAAGCTTCTTTGATTTTATGCCACCTAAATGAAAATTAGTTTCTCTTTTGTCTAGAGTAGGACATTGTAGATATGGCTAGCAATTGTTCAAAATGATCAAAAGTTTAATTGTATTACTTCCATTAAATATTTAATAACAGCTCAAATTTAGCATTGTAAAATTAGAACGTTTTTGCTTGGCAATATCTACTCTCTAATCAAACTGTACTTAAGTTACAGACTTAAATACTTGGCACTATGCTCCTTTTATGACATAAAAGAATACAAAAGCTGTATTTGTAAAATATTATGTGAAAATCCATTTTTTACTGAAGGGTTGTTGGGGAATTCAATCATTTCAAATATGCCAAGACTGTTTTTAGTCAAACAGAATCTGGGTGGAATCATTTTATGAGGTGAAGAACTACCCTGAGCAGTCCGTTGTTTACATTTGGCATTTACAAATCAGATTTCTTAAAATGGGATACATTTATATGTAACCTTAATGTGCAGTTAAAGTTTATTAATGTTAAAAATAGGGGGCCCAAGTCCTTCTGGAGGCCCAGAAAAAGAAAGAAAGAAAGAAAGGTAAGCGATTTGTTAATTTCCTCTTCAGTTGGAAAGATTTGTCAATATTTCCATTAGTTATATTTTTCCAACACAGTTTGGTGAGATCAGGGTGCATATGGAATTTAAGAAATAACAGCATTGTGTCTAAATGTAGTAAGATTAGTTAATAGCTCAGCTAGGATGTGGTAGTCTTAAGAGCTTGAACATATTTTAAATGTAACAGATTATTGCAAGGTTAAAATCAGTTGCTAGAATTAGTGTGAGTTTAGGTTTATCCTTTCAGGAAAAGGTAGTTATTTTTGTTTCCTTTTTTTTTTTTTTAAGATTTTATTTATTTACTTGAGAGAGACACAGCGAGAGAGGGAACACAGGCAGGGGGAGTGGGAGAGGGAGAAGCAGGCTTCCCGCTGAGCAGAGAGCCCAGTGTGGGGCTCAGTCCCAGGACCTTGGGATCATGACCTGAGCCAAAGGCGGACACTTAACAACTGAGCCACCCAGGCACCCCTTATTTTTGTTTCTTAAAGTACTTTTTAAATATTCAGTTTTTATCTGGTAGTTGCTAAAGACATTAAAATGCTTAAGGAGATGTTAGTATCTTTAAGGTTTAAGATCTAGGACTTTAGAGCTTAGATTTATTAGCAGCAATGTATAAGTTTTATTACAGTCTAATTTATATTACTGTTAAGGATGTTTGGATTAAGAAGCTATAAGCAATTTTATGTGGATGGTTAGAAAATCCTATAGTAGGGTGCCTGGGTGGCTCAGTCGGTTAGGCGGCTGCCTTCAGCTCAGGTCATGATCCCAGGGTCCTGGGATCGAGCCCCATGTCAGGCTCCCTGCTTGGCGGGAGCCTGCTTCTCCCTTTCCTCCCTGCTTGTGCTCTCTCTTGCTATCTCTGTCACTATCTGTTTCTCTCTCTCAAATAAATAAATAAATAAATAAAATCTTTTAAAAAATCTTATATTAAAGCTTTGAAGACCGTGGCAAATTAAATTATGTATACATGTGCTTTGAATGAATTCAGTCAGAACTGATAGCACAGGGCAGCTACTGTGCTCCAACTAGTGACTGAAAATAAAGTAGAAACATGCTAAGTATTAAGTGATTATATTTGTAATAGCAGTTAACTGTCCTGTTACTTTGTACTATTCCTTGTGGAATTGAACATTTATGAAGTTCTTTAGATGTTTTTCTGGAGTAAATATATTTAAATGGCTCCTAGTCAGAAATGTTTGTTAGAGCCAGTAAAATATACCAAGTCCATGAAATTAAATTTACCATCTACATCTGTGTTTGATATTTGTCTTCTATAACCCTTTTGTTTTTCAGAAAATAATTGGTATAGTTATTGGGAAAACAGATGTCAAAGGCTTTCCAGACAGAAAAAGCTGAGTTCTGTTTAACTTTTTACTTCATTTTTCATCAAGTGTGGCTTATGACTACAACAAAGTGTATTTAAGTGATTAAATTTCTCATGCCCGTTTAACTCCTTAAGAGCAGTGGCCATTGCTCTATTGTATGGTAAAGTACTCAATTTAAAGCCATATGTGTGAGGACATTAAAATCATTTTTAATGACATGTAAGGCTGTGTGACTCCCTGTTAACGATCACTTTCAGCCTAAGAGATACAAATACACAGGAAAATCTAAGACAGAAAATGTTAAGGAACAGGATTTTCAAGCGGAGATGTGTCTTGATAGAGGAGCGTGGAGGGAGAGAAGTATGGCAGTGGTATCAACCAGACAATCCAGTGAATAAAATTCATCTTTTATATGTGGAAAATACAGTTAACTCTGCCTGTAGTGGCTCTTATTGAGTTGCTTGAACTGTATAAAAGTTTTAGGACTATGGAAACAATCCAAGACTAAAATTAGATTTTTTATTTTTATTTATTTTTTTAAAAGATTTTATTTATTTATTTGACACACATAGAGACGGAACACCAGCAGGGGGAGTCAGAGAGGGAGAAGCAGGCTTCCCGCTGAGCGGAGAGCCAGATGTGGGGCTCTATCCGAGGACCCTGGGATCATGACCTGAGCCAAAGGCGGACGCTTAATAGCTGAGCCACCCAGGCAGGCGCCCCTAAAATTAGATCTTTTTTTTTTTTTTAAACCAGAACGTTTATTGTGTGACTAATCGTTGAAATCCTTAAGCTGAACTGGATGCTGCAACAGCTGCCCTCTTGGGCTTAGGTGTTGTTCCTTCACGGAATCCATGCCTGAATCTGCCGTACACAATTTTTAGGTGCCTCATTAGACCGGTCCCAGTGGGGTTTCGTCTTTTAGCCTTGTTACTCCAGTTATACTTTCTCTTGCGCTTGGCAGAATAGCCGCATTGGCCACAGGTGGACTTCTGAGGGTGGTAGGCCTTCGGGCCACAGCGGCTGCACAACGTGTGCGTTTTATTGCAACGCTTTCCAAACGATGACTTCCCCTTCATCTTGTTTCCGCGCAGACCCCAAAGAGGCCGGAAGAGGAGACACTTGCGCTTTATTGTGCTCAGAAGCTAAAATTAGATTTTTGTTGTTGTTGTTATTTTCTACTTTGTGCTCAAGTTCTTTTTTTTTTTTTTTTAAAGATTTTATTTATTTATTTGAGAAAGAGAGAATGAGAGACAGAGAGCACGAGAGGAAGAGGGTGAGAGGGAGAAGCAGACTCCCTGCTTAGCAGGGAGCCCGATGCGGGACTTGATCCCGGGACTCCAGGATCAGGACCTGAGCTGAAGGCAGTCGCTTAACCAACTGAGCCCACCCAGGCGCCCTAAAATTAGATTTTTTAAATCAAGTTTAAAATCAAGTTTTCAAACTTCTGTAGTTGACACTCAATGATAAGATATAAAATGCCAAAACTAGCATGGTTTACGTCAGCCCTGCTTATAAAAGGTTATAGTATAAACACTTCTGTGTGGCTTAAGGGAATCAGCTCTAGTCAGCCAGACAGTGATTTTGGCGGAAGAAGACATTAATTTTGTTTGAATCGGCCGAATAACTGTGGCTGCTTTTTGGCTCGTGGTGTAGTGACGGTTCCTTTATTTTAATTTCATGTAATATTCTATTATCATGTTTGATGTAAATATTTGCTTATGCTTTCACTTCATGATTAATTAGATCAGAATTACCATTTGAATAGTTTGAGAGTCTATGTATGTTTTCTAAGTTCTAAAAGGAATAACTTAAAACACACGAATTAGGAAAATGTCAGTATTTAAAATATTTGCTAAAATCACAATGAAATACAATTTTCACCTCACAGACTGTGTAGGTAGTGATTCCTGTAGTGTTGGAGTACTTTATGGTTATATGTACAGAACTCCTTTTTTGGAGAGGACATGTTTACTGACTTAAAAAAAAACATTACACACATGTTACTATCTATTTTCACAAAACATTCAAGCACTACAGGTCATGGAATAGAAAAATGAAATTCTTAATTCAACCCCCAGCTCTTTCCAGCCTAGTCTCCTCCCCAAAGATAAATGCTAATAACAGTTTAGTAGATATCTATAATTTATGTATATATGTTAGGTTGTGTTACCTTTTTAATTAGCAAAAAACAGCAGGGACATTTTATTTTGGGAAAAAATGTACCTGCTGACCCCTACTGGTGCCATTTACTAGCACACATTTATTTGTTTTGAAATAATTTAGATCTGAATCATGACTTAGGTTGAAACTGTAACAGTGAGAGAGAAATGGAGAATCTAAGCTAAAATCTGTATGGTTCCAGCCGACGTATCATTTCCCTCCAAATACACAGATAACTGGGGAAAGGGAACAGAGGGATCAATAGTGAGGTGAGTTATCTACTCTGACAGCTTTGAGATTCATTAAAGCATAACTTATCTTAGAATTTATATCTGCAGTAATATTTTTACCATGTGTTTGAGTATGCTTATTATCATAATAATTATATTTGTTCAAACCTAAGATAAAAGTTTTCATTTGAAACATGAAAGCTTTGGTTTCCCTTAGATATCGGATCAGAGAGGTACACTTTCAGTTTTACCATTCGGGACTCACCAACCCATTTTGTAAATGCAACGTCCTGGGGCAGCGAAGGTTACATCAGGTCGCTTTCTGACAGCTTTAGGGTTGGCGAGTGCGGTAAGTTGGCATTGGTTCTGGAACTGTTTCTATTATAGTATTATTCCTGTGATATATTTGTGGGAACTACACTGAGGGGGTCAAAGTAAGACACAATTTATAATTCTTAAGAAAGTTATCAGAAAAAAGTCAGGCATTCAGAGAATAACACAAACATTCAGAATTTTATTGCTTGAAACGTATAAATGTGATTGTCACATATTTTTACTAGGTAGCTTTATGATCTTTGGTTTCTTTCATATTTCAGTTTGCATCAATTCTTGTTGTTGCTATCACCATTTATCTTTCAGTAAACATAATAAGGCTGCTAAATAGTTTTTGATAAAAGAAAATATTTGAATTTTTAGTAGGAGTTTAAGAAGTTTACTTTGAAAATACCAAATCTTTGGCATCCTTTACCCATCCCAGGATCCTTCTGATGGTACAGTGTCGTATAAAAAAAACAGGGCTTTGAAAACGGATAGAACTGGATTCAGATCCTACTTCTAATATTTGTTTACATCATGGCTTTGAGAAAAGTGCTTAACCTTGTTGAGCCTCAACTATGAATGAGTACCCTACAGATTCTGTGGGTGTCAAAGGAGGTAGAATGCCTGGTATGAAGTGTGGAAAGTTGTCATTCCGTGGATGGCAGCACTAGCCTCATACAGGAAACAAGAAAGCACAATACCAGCTCTCTCATGGTAGAACAAAGAAGGGCAAGAGTAATGCACGTAATTAAACCACTCTCCAGAACTGCACAATTAGGCAGGTTATTACCTGTCCCTATCCCTGTCACTTACACCTACTCATACATTTATTGCCTCATATTATGAACTTGTAGGGTTGTGTGTTGTGTCTCTCTAAGTGAATAATAAGGTACTTGAACATATGAATTGTGAAGACAGAAAACTTTGTAAACTTCACAGGGCCCAGTACTATTAGAAACATTCTTTGGATGAATGCCAGTGTGTTAGTTATATGGAGCTAAAGATATATTTTGGTATTAAACTATAGTTTGATGGTTGTGAGGATGAATGAGGTAAGGGATCTTAAAAGCACAAAGTTGACAATAATTATAAATCTAAATACGATCTTAGTGTGGAGGTGTGAAAGATTACAGATTTTTGATTCAGAACAACTATAAGTCTAGCCCTACTAGCTTCTAGATATAAAACCTCCAGAAAGTTATTTAACCTCTGTGAACTTCAATTTCTTCATTTGTAAAAAGGGGTAATCATGGAATAGTTCTGTGAGGAATCAGCAAAAGAGACACAAAAAGGTCTAAGAAGACCATAAGGAAACAAAACCCTTAAAATGTTCAGTCATAAGCTGATAAGTTGTGGAGCTGAAATCAGGAGCCAGATTGTGCATGGCTCTTTCTGCCCCATGGCTGTTGTTTCTAAAGGCAACCGTGAATTGGGTGAAGTTCATTTAAAGTATATGTTTTATGGAAGGGCAGGTCATGACCAGATCACATGTTCGGTGTAACTAATCAATAAAACAATATTAATGCAGGTCATATGTTGGATTTAAACACAAAACATAAGAAATGTCATCTGGGATCAAATTGATGGTCAGACCCAAGGATTCTGAGGATTCTGTGTCTCAGTGACACAAGGAGAGGACTGGGAAGGATATGCTACACTGACTCAGAAATTAGAAATAACATTGTAATGTTCGTTGTGATGTATACTTGTTTTTATGTATCTAGTTACTTTTTGTAATAGCATCATACTTTTCCTTCTGTTGCAGTGATAATTGAAAATCCCCTGATTCAAAGAAAGGAATTAGAAAGAGAAGAAAAATTCAGCCCTGCGACTCCTGGGTAAATAATCCAGCACAGAGCCAACAGACTTTGTTGTGTCTGTGTGTCAGATTAGCGGAGAGTTTACTGAGGGTATATGCTTCCGTTTGAAAATTAGGAGTTTAATTCTTCCTCACAGTATTTAGCTTTGATTATGAAATAATTTAGGTTGATATAGGATTACATGAAAACATGGCTGTTTTTAGTACTTTTATTCTCAGATTTCGAAAAATTTGCCTCTAGTCACATTAAAGCTGAGCAATGAGAAAGATAAATCTTAGAAGTCCTATAGATGTATCATGTCAAAGTAAAACTCTGCCTTCATGCCTTCCTGTCTTAGTTCAGGTTTACTGGAGGCAGAGCCCAGAGGAGGATTTTTGTGTAAGTGGTTTGTTGAGGGAGAGCTCTCTGGAACAGCCTGTAAGGATAAGATCAAGGGACAGCAGAGAGGCAGGTTCAGCGGGAGCCCAGCTCAGCCCGCCGGAGCCCAGCTCAGCCCGCCTGACCCCAGGGCGAGCTCTGGAGGATGAGTGGCACCACCTGAAGGGAGGGGACTGGGCTTTTGTGGCCTGGATTCACAAGTCATTGGCTACGACGTTCACTCCCCACCACTGGCATTTCTGCCTGAAGGCAGCTCTCCAGAGAAAGGTGACCCTGGTAAAGGGCCCTGAGTGGGGCACAGCAGTCTCCATTGTGACCCCTTCCCACCTACTGTCCTGACCTCATAGCAGACCCCAAGTCTCATTCCTGTGCTGCCACACAGATTCCTCTCTACCTTGTGAACACCCTGGGCTCTTCTGCACTGTCGGCTTTTGCATACTCACTTCCCTCTGCACAGAACAGTCTTCTCCCATCTGCTTTGTTTGCTCCTTCTGCTCATTGATGTGTCACTTTGAATGTCACCTCCTCAGACCTTCTCCGTTTACTCTGTGTGTAGTGGCCCTTCCAGTCCGTCACTAGGACTTTGCCCTGTGCTGTTATCATCATAACCCACTGTCTGAGATTATTTGATTAATTGTTGTCTGTCTCCCTCTCACACATGTGAACTCCGTGACATCAAAGGCCTTGTCCGTCTTCTTCACCACTGTATTCCCTGTGCCTAGACTAGGTTCTGGCACATACTAGCTCTTGGTAGATATTGATGGAATGAATGGATAAATGGATGGAGGGAGGGAGGAGGTGTGGGGGCGAAGAGTGTTCTTGGCAGAGGGAACAAACATGAAACCTCCTGGTCTTTTCCAGAACAGTTAACAGTAGGTTGAACCACATGAAACTGTTGACATTTGACTATTTTTGGTCTAAAACTGCCAGTTTCATAGTCTAGTCGTCTAATATGGCTGGGCTTTAGGGCAAAGGCAGGGGGAGCAGTGGAAGGAAAAGCTTGAGAGAGAAGCAGAGACGCTTCCCAGACAGCTTTGCCTGGCATACCAACTTCATTCTTTGCCGGTGGCTAGCCCAGAAGGTCTTTGAGCTGGGAACTAGTATGTCCATATTTGTGGTTTAGGATGATCATTTCAGCAACCTGGGTGGGGAGGGAAGCTTAGGAGACAAGATAGTAGTTCAGGTGAGAAGTGGTGAGGGAAACACCTAACGAAGTAGCAGGGGGAGGAGAGGGAGGAGGGCCTGGGTTAAAGGGCTGGAAAGAGGCTCCCTGAGGGGACTTGGGCGTTGATTGACTGGAGGGGGAAGAACACCTTGATTGGAGTTCAGTGTGTAGATATTGGGCATCTACTGCAGACAGCATCCCAGGAGGAAGTCAAGCACTGTCCTGATGCAGGCAGGGCAGTCAGTGTTGCAGGGGATATGGGATACTCCCACCCTGACATATCAGAGGGCTTTTATACCCCTGCTTTACAGAGAAGAAAACTGAAACTCGGAGTTTGGGGCATGGTCAGAAACTAGTACGCTTAGAACTCGGGCACAAATTGGTCCTCAAAACATTTTCTTAATGAAAATACATTTTTTTTACTTCTTTATTTTTTAAAGATTTTATTTATTTATTTGACAGAGAGACAGCGAGAGAGGGAACACAAGCAGGGGGAGTGGGAGAGGGAGAAGCAGGCTTCCCACTGAGCAGGAGCCTGATGTGGGGCTCGATCCCAGGACCCTGGGATCATGACCTGAGCTGTAGGCAGACACTTAACTGACTGAGCCACCCAGGTGCCCCTGAAAATACATTTTATTATTTTTATTTCATTTTATGGGGTGGGTGGGCAGAGGGAGAAGCAGGCTCCCCACTGAGCAGGGAGCCTGATGCGATGCGGGGCTCAATCCCAGGACCATGGGATCATGACCTGAGATCATGACCTGATCATGATCTGAGCTGAAGGCAGCCGCTTAACTGGCTGAGCCACCCAGGCGCCCCTGAAAATACATTTTAGACAAAAAATATTTCACAACAGTTTTCAATGTTTCTCAGAGTAAAAAATAAAAGTTTTCTTAATATAGTCTAAATCACAACCAAAAAGATAATGTGAATCTGGAAGTATTTTTCTATTAGAAAGTCACTTGATATTAATTGTTTTTGTGTGTTTTTACAATTTAGCAACTGTAAACTATTGCTCAGTGAGAATCACTCCATGGTAAAAGTTTGTTCCGGTTACCAAGTGGACAACAAGCTCCTTGCTTTGATATACTTACCTGTTAAAGAGTCTCGTGATTTTTATTCATTGGGTGATATTGTTGCAAACGGATGCAGTCTGGATGGGAGGATTATTAATGTGCTTGCGGCAGTGAGGTCGGTAAGTTAAAGCCTCAACAAACCCACCCTCTGTTTGGTGGGCAGTCCTATCACTTCACTTCTGTTTGGAAAGTCATAACCAGCTGGAGTCAATTTTCTTGATCCATAGTAAGTTGAATTAAGAAAATGGTAGCACTTCTCATCAATGTCAAAGGAGCAGTTTATCTGGCAATGAATAGCAAAATAAAATTGAATTTGAATGTTAAATGCAGCACACTCCTAAATGATCTACTAACTGTGAGAGCTTTGCATACTTCGGTGAAACAGAGACACAAGTGGAAAGGGTAAATTCATGGACTTGAAGATTTGCATGAAGTTTCTTGAGGGGATGTAAGTTGGAGGACTCATGGAGTCCACTCATGTGTGTGCTCAGAGGTGTCCTGAGATGGGGGTGGGCATACCCATCGTGTGGCTGGCGTGACCTCGTGCAGGCATCGTGGGGCCCTGGGGAGCCTCTCAGCAAGCCGCACACCATCACCTCCCTCTTATGCAGTTGCTGCAATGAGTTTCAAACTCTCTTGGACAGACTGGTCGCTTGGCAGACATTCAGAGGTAGATCTCAAAAGTACAGTTTCACACACACACAAAAGTACGTGGAGAAAATTAAAGGGGCAGGACCAATTCCTCAACGTGGGGAGTGAGGATAGTCAGAGACCACATACACAAGCATGAAATGTTGTAAGTAATCGCTCATTGCTTTTCTGTATTAAATGACAGTGTCGACTCTCCCTGTTGACCGGCCTGTGACAGTGGAGGCCACGACTGCTTTATCGTCCACCCTAGCCCCAGCCTAGCTCAGCGCCCGGCACAGTGAGCATTCAATGTAATTCAGGATGGAGGAATAAACTCTCTTCTATGACAGTCTTGAACAATACGAGAAACCACTTTCTAGGCAATTTAGCTTCAGTCTTACATCAAGGCAGGATATTATCTCGATTTCCCTGTAGTTCTATACAATGCCATTATATTACAATGTAGTTAGAATTTTCTCAAACTCAGTATAAGCAAAAGCCTGCGACAGCATTTTCCACTTCCCCGGCCATGAGTCTGGCACCCTCTTTTGTAGGAGGACATGACTTCTTGTGTGTATGTCTTTCTTCTACCATTTTGCTTCCATCCCTCTTACATTTCCTTTTCTTCACATTTTTATTTAGCCCTTTCTCTCTTCCTTCTCACCTTCTCTCTCTCTTCACTTTAGAATCCTTTTCATAGAATTCTCTTGTGTGCTGGGATATGTCGGACCTCTGTCATACTCTGGCTGTCCTTTCCTCTGACTTTCCTTCTAGATCCTGCTTTTGTGCAGGCAGCTGCAAGTCTTCCTTCAGCTCCTTCCCCTGGAGCTCAGCTCTGCCGGAATGTAGTGGTGACAGCAGCGTAAGGGGGCAGCCAGCTGACCAGGCTTGGGCCACTGTTATGCAGCTGGCAGAGGGGCCTGCTCTTCCCTTTGAGAACTCGCTGTGGGGGCAGAAGGACCCCTGAGTTTACTCCCACTTCCATGATCCTCTTACCCCCAATGTGGGTCAAGCCAGACAGTGTTTCAAGGTGGCCTCCCATATTCCCTCATTTGGTCTTCACCACCTTATTCCCACGGAGGCAGCAAAGAAGGCATTGGATCCTGCCTGTGCCAGCAAGCTGAGGATGCTGAGGTGTAGGAAGACTGAGTTCTTTCAGTCACATATACTCCATGCCAGGCTCTGCGCTAAGCCATGGGTGTCACAGATGTTGAAAATATATTTTCCATCCTCAGTGAGTCCACCTAGATGCCATACAGGGGCTTGTCGTGGAGCATTGTTTTTGACATGTTGAAAAGACCCCACAGTCTTAAAGCACATATTTTTGTCTCTCCCTTCAATCAAAGTGTGTAACTTACAAATTCAGCTAAATACACCTAATTTAGAAATAGAAGATGCTTTTAAAACCGTCAAATATATATTAGTGATTCTTGCTATTTTGATTTTTTAATTTGCTGTTTAAAAGGTAAACATTTGAATGTTTCCACCAATAAACATTTATGTACCTCTACAACTATAGGTGAAGAATAATGATTTCCTTCGATTTCTAAGGTTGGAGAGCCAAAATACTTTACAACTTCAGACCGGAGAAAAGGCCAGAGGTGTGAGGTGAAGCTCTATGATGAGACAGAGTCTTCTTTTGCAATGATATGGTAACTTCCTACATCTGTTCCAAACCGTGAAATCCCTGCTGTTAGCACCAAGACAGAATATTTTTATTTTATGAAAAAGATGATGGATTTCAGAGTAGGAGAGGAGTAATGATGGAGGAGAAATCATTATTAAAAAGGAAACCTTGCTCTTGTACACTGAGCATTACAGTCTGTGCTGTAAGATTATCTTAAAAGGAGCTCTTTGGACAGCACAGGATTATTTGGATGGACTCCACGGTGACTGGTTCATTCCTGTCCTCTGCTTTATAACAGTGTGATTCATTAGGTCCCATTGGTAATGAACCAGCCAGATTCTCTGTGATTGCTTGGGTAGTGCCCTGGAGTCAGGCCACAGGAATATGGTGGAAAAATACCCTGAAGCACTGCAGGGTAGAACATGGCATTGTTCAGACTCCAGATTTGAAGTGAATTTGAAACAGGCCTTCAACCCGTCAAGTCCCCTGAACAGTTTATCCAATGCAGGGCCCTCTCTTAGTGGTCTGACAGAGTGGTTGTAAAGGCTTTGTATTTGTAGTCACTTGGTTCTAACTAGCCTGGAGCAACCTAAGTAGTGGGGAAAGAAGGAATGGATGAGGCAGAATTTGTCAAAGATGAATAGTGGCTAAGGAATGACTTATCACATGGACGTGAAATGCCCTGTGAAATAGTGAATCCTGCAAAACGCAGGAGAAGCCAACATCCTTCACTTGTGCCTTTGACAACTTGGGCAATTGTTAACTCCAGCCATTAAGACATTCTTTTTTTTGGCAAATAATGTGGTCACTGTCAGTTTTTTTCTAATGTATTCACTTTTTTACTTCTTTTTTAAAATATGCAGTTGGGATAATGAATCTATCCTGGTTGCACAGAGCTGGGTGCCACGAGACACAGGTATGATGCTGCAATGATTGTGTTCACTGTTTATCATTTTTTAAACCCCCTTCCACATAAAAGTTGTAAAATGTCTTTCTTCCCCCCAAACAGTAATATTTGCCTCAGACGTAAGAATAAGTTTTGACAAATTTCGGAACTGCATGACAGCAACTGTAATCTCAAAAACCATTATTACGACCAATCCAGGTAAAAGGCCCTCTGAAATGTTGTGTCCCTTTGGAAATGACTATGTCACACATTTCAATGTTTGTACACTGTATTTAAGAATGAAAACAAGGGATGCTTGGGTAGCTCAGTTGGTTGGGCGTCTGACTCTTCTTTTTGGCTTGGGTCATGGTCTCTGAGTTGTGGGATTGGCCCCATTTGGGCCCAGAGTCTACTTAGGATTCTCCCCCACTCCCTCTGCCCCTCTCTCCTCACTCACACATGCATGTGTGCACACTTTCTCACTAAAAAAAAAAAAAAAGAATGAAGACAAAGCTTGGATTTCATTTGAATTAAAAGTGAAAGTTCCTTTATATGCTTTACATTTATATTTCTTTTTTTTTTTTAGATTTTATTTATTTATCTGTCAGAGAGCGCACACAAGCAGGGGAGTGGCAGGCAGAGGGAGAAGCAGGCTCCTTGCTGAGCAGGGAGCCTGATGCAGGACTTGATCCCAGGACCCTGGGATCCTGACCTGAGCTGAATGCAGACGTGTAACTGAATGAGCCATCCAGGTGTCCCTGTACATTTATATTTCTTAAACTTACAGTGAGTTATATCTCTGATATCCTTACTAAAGAAAAGAAATGTGAAAAACCAGTCTCATTTTTATTTTATTTTATTTTATTTTTAAAAAGACTTTATTTATTTGAAAGAGAGAGAAGAGAGAAAGAGCAAGCACGAGCAGGGGAGAGGGGCAGAGGCAGAGGGAGAAGCTGACTCCCACTGAGCAGGGAACCCAACTCAGGACTTGATCCCGGGACTCCAGGATCATGACCTGAGCCGAAGGCAGTCGCTTAACCAACTGAGCCACCCAGGCACCCCAGACTCATTTTTAAAGCATCATCCCTTGTGATGATTCTGGTAAGATCAATGTAATTGATTGGATCACCTAAATTATTGACTATTTTATTTATTTATTTTAAAAAAGATTTTATTTATTTATTTGACAGAGAGAGACGGCAAGAGCAGGAACACAAGCAGGGGGAGTGGGAGAG